AGTTCACCCTCTGCCTGCCTCAATATCAGCATATTTTCTGGAGAAGCCTTGCTTAGCCATTGCAGTTATTATTTTTAAGCTGAAAAGCATGCAGGAGTGTACATGTATACACAGGCCATGCCTATAAAAAAAGACAAGAAACACTATAGAGAATTGACTTTGTTATTACTTGATACATCTAGACTTGGGGATCAGTCACTTGATCTGATGTTCATTGTTGGGTTGGAAGAGAAGTAACATTTATGTAACGTGTTTTAAACCAACTTCATCTTACTTTCCTTATTCAGGTTCTGACTCTTTGTATCTTAAAATGTTAGAATTAAAAAGTGAAACCATATGATTGGCTAAATCTGTTTCCTTGTATGATCAGGAAACAGACCAATGAAAAAGGGCAAGAGGGAGGGAAAAAATGAAGATTTTTTTATCATTTTTTATTTTAATTTTAAATAGCTTGTTTTACATGTCAATCCCAGTTCCCTCTCCCTCCCCTCCTCCCGCACTCCCCTTCTCCCCTCCCTCCCACACTATTGCCAAATCCTTCCCCATAGGGGATATCTAGAGTCTGTCATTTTACTCTTGGTAGGGTCCAGGAACTCCCCTAAGAGTCCAGGCTGAGAGAGCATCTCTCTTTGTGCTATAGGCACACGAAGACAGTTTGTATACCAGGGATAGACACTGATCCACAGCTCAGAGCCCCATAGGTTGCCCAGGCCTTCTCACTGACACTCACATTTGGGGGGTCCAGATCAGTCCCATGCTGGCCTCCCCACTGTCGGTCTGGGGTCCAAGAGCTCTCACCTGTTCAGATCAGCTGTCTCTGCTGGTTTTGCCAGCCCATTCTTTGCCAATTTGCTCATCACTCCTCTCTCTCTGTCACTGGGTTCCTTGGGTTCAGTTCAGTGATTAATTGTGTGTTTGCCTCTGCTTCCATCAGTCACAGGATGAAGGCTCCCGGATGGTTATAGACATCAAGTTCATTATCAGGGATGGGCATTCGAGGTGGTCCCTCCACTATTGCTTAGCTTGCCAATTGGTGTTATCCCTTTAGATCACTCGAGGTCACTCTGGTGCCTGATCTGTCTTCGAACCTATGATTCCCTCTTCCCCCTATTCTACCCCCACCCCCTCAACTTCCTGTTCCCCCATGACCAACTCCCTTCCTTTTCACCCCCTCTCTTCTTCCCAGGTCCCACTCCCCCCCACCCCTTGCCGTGTTCCCCATCCATTCAGAGGGTCTTGTCTCCATCCTCTTCTCTTGGGTACTATGGATATATGCATATCTTTTAGGTTCTTTCCTGTTTCCCAGACTCTCTATCTGTGGAAGTGCAGACTGGCACTATCCTGATCCATGTCTAAAATCCATATATGAGTGAGTACATACCATGTTTGTCTTTTTGCGACTGGGTTACCTCACTCAGGATGGTTTCTTCCAGTGCTATCCATTTCCCTGCAAATTTCAAGATTCCATTGTTTTTTTCTGCTGAGTAATACTCCATTGTGTAAATGTACCACATTTTCTCTATCCACTCTTCAGTTGAGGGGCATCTAGGTTGCTTCCAGGCTCTGGCTATTACAAATAATGCTGCTATGAACATAGTGGAGCAGATGCCCTTGTTGTATGAACCTGCCTCATTTGGATAAATGCCTAAGAGTGGAATTGCTGGGTCTAGTGGTAGATTAATTCCCATTTTCCTGAGGAATCTCCATACTGATTTCCAAAGAGGCTGTATGAGTCGGCACTCCCACCAGCAGTGGAGGAGTGTTCTCTCTCTCCACATCCTCTCCAGCATAAATTGTCTTCGGTGTTTTTGATTCTAGCCATTCTGACAGGAGTAAGATGGTATCTCAGAGTTGTTTTGATTTGCATTTCCCTGATGGCTAAGGATGTTGAGCACTTTCTTAAGTGTCTCTTGGCCATTTTAGCCTCCTCTACTGAGAATTCTCTATTTAGCTCTGTACCCCACCTTTCAAGTGGATCCTTTGGTGTTTTGGAGACTTGTTTCTTGAGTTTGTACTAACCCTACATCTGACAGAGGGCTAATCTCCAAAATTTACAAAAAAATGAAGATTTATTGAATGCCCCAATAGGCATTTGGGCCATTTAACAGTGTTTTGTTTGTTCATTTGATATTTAATGTAAGCGGGGATAAAGTTCTACAATGCCAACCAGGCAGATCTCAAATTCCTAGGCTTAAGGATTCTCCTACCAATTACCTGTGACTGGAGACAGTTGCCAGCATGTCTTGACTAACAGTTCCTTTTAGAGGGTCTTTAGGGTGCCAGACACAGTGCTAGGCATTGTGTAGGGAGCAAGAAGCAAAGAGACAGTGTCACTGCTCGTGTGGAAAAGGCACATACTGAAGATGAACATAAATAAAGGTGTCATCTTCAATTGTTAAGGGGTGCAAAGGAAATGAGTGGGGTACTCATGAGAGTCTCATCATTATCATTTTACATGTGAAGAACAGAATCCCAGAGAGACTTAGTAACATGGCCAAGAGCACTCATCAAAGGATGACAAGGGATAGAGCACAGCCTTCCAGATGTAATCATTTGTGCCCAGTACCCAGTAATGTCTTCAGAGTAAGAGATGCAGACAAAGTATACACAGATGTGTGTTCAGACACACATCCTGGGAGCATATCCAGGCCAAGGAGGCAAAATCCTGATGGGCAGGCAAGGGATTTGGCATTGGGTGATGATGGAAGAGGTAGGTGGGTATGAGATCTGTCAGACAGTGCTGTGAGAGTTTGAGCTTTATTCATTGTCATTTACTCACTAGAAAAAATTGAAGAGGATTGTAATGTTATTGTGTCAAGTCCCTCCCTCATACTGCAAATCAAAAAGAAAACCAGGATAAAGAGTACATTGCTGGTGTGCATGCATTTGGGGAAGCGTGTGTGTGTGTATGTATGCACATGGAATGGTTTTCTATATACCATTACATTGTAGCTATTTAACAGCTTCTCTGTGGCTGTAACTTGCATTATGATAGATGGTGTGGAGTGTCCTGTCGTGTATTAATTGACCACTTGTATTTCTTCTCCAGAGAAATGTCTGCTCAAATCCTCTGCCAATATCTTAATCGAATTATGTTTTATATTGCATTGTGAGAGTTTTCAGCATGTTCAAAATGGTACTCCCTTAGCAGATAAATGGATTGCAACTCTTTCTGACCTCCCCTTTTAAAATTTTTTTTAATTTAAATTAGAAACAGTGTCAATCCCAGATCCTCCCTCCCCTCCTCCCCTGCTACCTACTAATCCCCCATCCCCCCACCCAATCCCCACTCTGCTTCTCAGGGAGGGTGAGGCTCTCCATGGGGGAATCTCCAAAATCTGCCATATCATCCGGGGCAGGGCTTAGGCCCTCCCCCATGTGTCTAGGATGAGAGAGCATCCCTCCATGTGGAATGGGCTCCCAAAGTCCATTTGTATTCCAGGGACAAATATTTCTTCCCCGTCTATGGGTCACCTTTCCATGTTCTTGACAGTATTTTTCGGGGGAACACATTTTAAAATTTTTGAAAACTTGATTTATTTTTGTTGTTTATACTTTGTGTCATTTAAAGAAAGTAGTGCCTGATTCAAAGTCATGAAGACTTATCATACTGTGAGTTTTATATTTTTACCTCTTACATTTGAATCTTTGTATATGCTGAGGTAGGAATGCAAATTCATCCTTTTTTATGTTGCTCTTTGGTCGTCCCACTATTGTTTGCTGTAAAGACCATGCTTCTCCATTGAAGCACGGATTTATAGTAGCTGTCCTAGACCTTTCTAGTGGAGTAGAGCGACAGTAGAAGGAGAAAGGACCTGGGACATGAGAAGCTAGTGTGCTGGTGGCACCAGCTGCTGCAACGAGGAGGCTGCTGTTGTAACTCGGGGTAGGAGGGAATGGGGGGGGCCGTAAAACGCACCAGTATAAACTTCAACTGTCTGTGCTCTTTTTCCCTTATGATGTTACGAATAAGTTAAGACTGTGAGCCCAGAGGGCCAAGCTCTAGTCACTGCTGGGGGAGTGGTGTGTCCCAGGGCCATGTAGAACAGGGCAGGAGACGGTTTGGAACTAAGTGGAACAGGATTTTTTTTTTTTTCAAGAAAAGAGGGAATCATAGTTTGGAAGTGTTAGTGGGGAAAAGACAACCTACATGACCTCCTCACCTTGAGGTTTGGGGATTATGAAAAAGAAGACTGAAGAGCAGGACGTGGTGGAATGTGCTTATAACAGCAGCCAAAGCATGAGTGTCGTGAGTTTGAAGCCACCATGGGCAGCAGGGCAACTTAGGAGATACAGAGAGGAAGAGAAGAGAGGTAGGGAGTCCTAATGTTTTAAGAGAAGGGCACAGGAGGTATGCTCTCCCCATACAGATATTTGCTTACGGCACAGAAGTAGAAAGAAGAATGTTTGAAAAGCAGCTTGGCTGTGTTGCTGACTAGTTACACTCCAGATAGTGAAAAGGAGGATGCAGAGAGAAGAGGGCCGAGTATGTGGAAGCAATCGGAGTGCACAGAGTCATGTGGGTATAGCAGTAAGAGAAGATCAGGCGCCCTTGAACTTGTGTGGCACTTAAGTAAGCAGGTGCACTGCCCGATGGAGTTAGTTCCCTAAGTCTTAGACACATAGACAAGTCTTAGTCCCAGTATGAGTACCTCCTCTTTCTTCAACCTCTCCAGGACAGACATGACTGTTACCAGGGACAGCAGCCAATGCCAGGGTCGGTTAGTGTCTCTTCCAAGGGCAGAGAGTTGATAACAAATTCAGCCTATCCAAGCACCAACTCTGCTCATGTTCATACTTGTTCTGTTAGGAGAGCACATTCACCCTGCTGAACACAGACTTTGTCAACCTTGAGACTGGCTGGGCTCAGAGTGGGTCTATGTGGAAAGGCTAGGAAATGTCTGTGCTGATCCAGACCAGCAGAGTTGTGCTAGGACCCATAGTGCCTGCAAGACCACAGCTGTGTGTTTTACTCTTTCATACATGTGTTCCCTCCACAGGGCCATGTGGGTACAACTGCAACTAAGAAGATCGACGTCTACCTCCCCCTGCATTCAAGCCAGGACAGACTGCTGCCAATGACCGTGGTGACAATGGCCAGTGCCAGGGTACAAGACCTCATCGGGCTCATCTGTTGGCAGTATACGAGTGAAGGACGGGAGCCAAAGCTCAAGTAATCCTTTCTCTTCTCGCCCACTCTAGTTCCTAGTGGTCTCCTAGCCACCAAATCTGTACTCTTGGACACCACATTAGCCAGAGAACCAGACTTTCATAATGATCTAGCTCACAGTGCTCCCCAGGTCTTGGGCCCCGTGATTCTCAGCGTATTGAGAATAAATTTACAAGTTTCCAGATATGGACATGGGGGAATGAATTCATGTGGGTAAGAGTAGCATAAAAGGTAATGGGAGGAGACCAGTGTCTGAGCACTTGCCCCGATCTGGCACTTAACAGGCCACTTCATTCCTGGCATCCTGTTTGTTCTTCCAGACATGAAGGTGAGTGTCCTTATCCTCTCTGTCTGTGAAGGAAGGAAGGACTTAGGCTCGGGTATCTTTTTTTCCCCGAGACAGGGTTTCTCTGTGGCTTTCGAGTCTGTCCTGGAACTAGCTCTTGTAGGCCAGGCTGATCTCAAAGTCACAGAGATCTGCCTGCCTCTGCTTCCCAAGTGCTTAGATTAAAGGCTCAGGTACTTGCTGAAGATTGCTCCACAGAAGATGGCAGTCAGGGTATTGTGTGATCCTGCCTGCCTTCTGCAGACCTTGGATCTGAGCCTCAGCTTTCTTCATCAATGATGACTTGCTTTCTCCGTCACTAAGCTGTGATCTTCACTTAGCAGGTACAGTAAAGGCGCCACTTTGGCAGTGTATTGCTTAGCTGCATTGCCCTTGACCGGTGGCCTCTTCTAGTTTACCGTCTTGCCAACTGCAGGATGTAGAACACAGCAAAATATGGTGGGAAATTTCTACTCCCTGCCCATGTTTAGCTGAGTGTGATCCAGTCAGTTTTAGTGTAAAATTTTCTTTCAGGTACATTAAATTTGCACATGTAAATTTCTCTTCTAGTTCTTTCTTCTTTCATTGTAGTTCTTCCTTTGTGAAGTGTAGGCTAGCTTCAAACTCAGGACCTTCCTGCTGCAGTCTCCTGAGTGCTGGGATTATAGAAGTGACCACTATGCCTAATTGTTTTTGAGCTCTTTCTGACATTGCCCTCCATTTCCCTGACTAAGTTTGGGTGTAAAGATCATCTTCATTGCTCTAGTGTCAAGAGAAAGCCATTCCGAGTGAGATACTCTCTAGCTCAAACAGTCAGAGCCGGGTGCTGTTCTTAGGAAGGTGCTGGGATGTAGAAGTGAGGAACAGGAAAGGGAGCAAAACCCTGGAAACGCTGTCTAGTGTGGACACCGAAGCTGACTGACTTGAGTCAGCTGGCTCAGGGGTATGTGCCCACTGAGTAACACACAGGGGCTGAGCTGCAACTACATTTTATAGCTGTGGAAACTAAACTCAGGCTAAATCGTTTTTTTAAACCACACAGCAAGTGGCATGACTGGTGTTTTAACACAGTGGTTTCTACCAGTGCTCAGTTCTTCCCTACCACACTCACTGTGGTGGAACTGTATGCTAGATGTGGAGATACAGGAGAGACCAGCCTGTGCCATCGGGGTATGCCCGGGGTAAAACTGCACAACCCGTAGACAGTGGCATGTAAGAGCAGATGGTTTGACAAGAGCCAGGTGTGTTTCAGAGTTAAAATGGGGTCCTGCTCCCTTGATCCTGGGACAGCCAAGGGGAAACCTGAAGAAGCAACAGGCAAAGTTACGTTCGGAGGCCAAGAAGAAAAGCACAGAGCTGAGGTTCTGCTCGACTCCAGTGCAGAGCAGGGTATTGACATATTTGTAGTAGATGCCAGAGGCTGGAAGCTCAGCATACTTTCTCAGGAATACAGTTCAATCCATAACACTACTTTTTTGCTAGTTGATAACTTAACTATATTTTCCCTGTGTGAATTAATGGCATGAGTATAGGGGAAACTGGAATGTTCTTCAAAAGGTGAACCATTAAAACACCACGCTACATCTGTCCTGCATAATAATGCTCAGTGATAAGAAAGGAACATGCCGTTGATGCACACAACTAAGTCACTTTGGAAAGGTTGCATCTCGTGTGATTCTGTTATGTCACATATTCAAAGTAACACAAGTACAAAGACAAAGAACATGTAAATGGTTTCAGAGGACAAAGACAGTGTTTAGGACTGTTACATTCTGTTCCCAGTGAAAATTACGTGTGTGTGTGCACGCTACACGCGGGCGGGCGTGTGCACACACATACACACACACACATACACACAGTGGCAGAAACTAAGTAAACTTTACAGTCTTGTTAACAGTGTTGTGCCTATGTCAGTTTCCTCTGTCTGGACTATAATTACATGAGCATCACCACCAGGGAAGACTGCGTGGGACTCCATGTGTAGCGCTAGCTATCTTGGAGCTCATTCTGTAGACCAGGCTGGCCTTGAACTTACAGAGATCTCCCTGCCTCTGCCGTACCAGTGCTGGGATGAAAGGTGTGTGCCACCACCCCGGCCTCAGACAGTAGAATTTAAGACAAAACTTACCCATTTTGGCAAAGTTCATTGTGAAATGAGAAAAGACTTCTTAGGTAATATAATAATCCTGTGTTCACCTAGCAACATGCATCAAAGGAAGAGAGGACCAAGGCTTTGGTGACGTACTTCTGAAACAGGTACACTAGTGCCAAAGCCTGTCAGCCACAGGAGGAGCCAGAGAAGAGGACCAGCAGAACAAAGTATAATGAAAAGCACATAGCTAATCCCATTACTTTATGTACTGATTTTAAAAAGCAAATCAAAACTGGTGTGCAGCATCAAGAAGGGATGCTAGCTGGGCAGTGGTGCCACACACCTTTAATTCCAGCACTTGAGAGGCAGAGGTAAGTTCGGGGCCAACCTGGTCTACAGTGCTAGTTCCAGGACAGCCAGAGCTACAAAGACAAATCCTATCTCAAAAACAAACAAACAAAAAAAGAATGTTATGGACCAGGAAAATTTTGTAAAACAAGTAGGAGTTGGGGGAGATAGTTTGAAGCACATTATTATGATTTTTTTAAATAAGGGAAGCTGCCTATTCTCTTTGTAACACAAAGGCTCTTTCCCTAGACCCTAGAGTAGGGAAAGAACCTTTCTGTGGGAGTTTGTTTTCTTTTTTCTTTTTTTAATTTTTAAGTTTAAATTAGAAACAAGGTTGTTTCACATGTCAATCCCAGGTCCCTCTCCCTTTCTCTCCCCTCCTCCCACACCCTCCCACCAGCCCCCCCAGTACCCATCATTTCCCAGGGAGGGTGAGGCCTTCCATGGGGTATCCATAGTCTGTCTGTCATTTCATCCAGGGCAAGACCTAGAACCTCCCCCAAGAGTCCAGGATGAGAGTGCATCTCTCATTGTGGGATGGGCACCCAAAGTCCATTTGTATACAAGAGATTAATACTGATCCATTACCCAAGGCCCAATAGATTGCCTAGGTCTCCTCACTGATGCCCACATTCAGGGGGTCTTGATCAGTCCCATGCTGGATTCCCAGCCATCAGCCTGGGATTCGAGAGTTAACCCTTGTCAGGTCAGCTGTTTCTGGGGGTTAAACCAGCCCAGTCTTAACCCCTTTTCTCATTAGTCCTCCCTCTCTGTCACTGGGTTCCTTGAGTTCAGCTCAGTGTTTAGCTGTGGGAGTCTGCCTCTGCTTCCATCAGCCATTGAATGAAGGTTCTGTTTTCCAGACTCTCTGGCAGTAAGATTGTAGGCTGGCATTACCCAGATCTATGTCTAAAATCCATAAATGAGAGAGTACATATCATGTTTCTCTTTTTATGACTGGGTTACCTCACTCAGGATGGTTTCTTCTAGTGCCTTCCATTTGCCTGCAAATTTCAGGATTCCATTGTTCTGCTGAATAGTACTCCATTGGGTAAATATACTACATTTTCTCTATCCACTCTTAAGTTGAGGGGCATCTAGGTTGCTTCCAAGTTCTGGCTATTACAAATAATGCTGCTATGAACATAGTGGAACAGATGTCCTGAAGCACATTATTTAAGAAAGGAAGACAGAAAATGTGTTGGAGCAACACATGGGATCACAATACTTTGTATATTAAAGCTATTAAGTATACAGAGCACTAGACCTAAAAATCATCAGTTTTTAACTTCATCACTCCTTCATCGTCCCTCACTTCACTGGCTAAATAATATAGTACTACACACTGAGTTATTCACACAGATGTAACATGCTCAATGAGGAGAACTTTAAAATGTCTCAACTTGTCTTACCACAAACGGAAAGAATAGAAAAGGAAACCCTTTTAAATTCAAAATTGCAAAATCCATGGTCTAGGCCAGCATTCCTGAACACCTTTTCCTGGCATGCATATTTATGTGTTTTACCACATATAAATTGTGGTAAAACATACATAAAAACATTTTTTTCATTTGTGTGGTGTGTGTGTGTGTGTGTGTGTGTGTGTGTGTGTGTGTGTGTGTATGTGTGTGCGCGCGTGCGTGTATGTGTGTGTAGTTTTTTTTTTGTTTGTTTTTTGTTTTTGTTTTTGCTTTTTTGGTTTTTCGAGACAGGGTTTCTCTGTGGCATTGGAAGCTGTCCTGGAACTTGCTCTTATAGACCAGGCTGGTCTCAAACTCACAGAGATCCACCTGCCTCTGCTTCCCAAAGTGCAGGGATTAAAGACATGAGACACCACTGCCCAGTGAATGTATATATATTTCATTTGGTGTAATTTAGCTTCCTTGTTTTTTTGTTTTGTTTTGATAGTTGGTGAGAAGAGGCTTTTGCTTTTTTTTTTATAAGCAATAAATGACAAAGGATTTTTTAAAATAGAAACTTGAAAGGAAGGTTCAAATAGGTTAGGTTATGTGTAGCCTGGGACCCTACTAGGGTGATCTCTTACGTTACTTTGTCAACCGCTGTAATTGAACATGGCTTTCAATGCTGCATTCCTTCAGTATCCCACATGCTGACATTTCCGTAATCACCCCATCAGTGCATTTTGAATTGCCAAGTTAAGCCTGCCTTTCAGTTTTTTATACTTTGTGACACTAGATTCCTTAGTCCTGTTTGGTGTAAGCTAGTCTGTAAAGTAAA